GATGCTCCACTACTGAGTTCTCCATTTGTATTATATATAAAATGTGATAAGGACTGTTCTCGCTTTGCTACACCGGCAAATATCACAGGGCACAGGTCTTATCATTACAGAGGCCATAGTCTGCATTGCGTGCTGGTGTTTGTTGTTTCTGCTATATGCACGCCAATACAAGGTATAATTGAAATTTAAAATACCAAGTTAAGCCACAAAAAGTGCAGTGATTTTAGAGTGTAAGCTGGAAAATTAGTGTTTTTCTGCTAAAATACCTGGAAATAATACATTTCTTAAAATTGTTGGCAGTGTAATTTTTTTCCTGTGAAAACCTGAATTGTATCAACTACAAAGTGTTCCTAGGTAAATATATCACCCCCCTAGATACCCTTGCACTTTGAGAATTTTGTTCTTGGCAAGCTCTCAAATCTTACTTACTTAGGCTCCGTATTTCACGGCCTGTACAATAAAATACGGGCGGTATTATGAAGTCCAATCAATAATCTTTGCATAATTTCATATTTTTATCACAATGGGTTATACTTTAGATTTTCTTACCATCTCAACCACAACTGGACTGGTATTAAATTACACTGACAGCTGTTCATACTGAATGGCAAAACTTTCCCCAGTGTGGTGGAACTAAAATGGCCTAAACTCTAACGAACATAATGTCTCACAGACTGAGTCTTCGATGAATTCAGGCTTGGAGAGAGGGAATTTGGAGACGCCATCTTGAAATAATAATTCCCACCTGATTGTCTCTAAAGATGTTTCAATAAATACGCATGCAGCCTGTCTTTCCAACGCTGGCATTTATGACATTAATATGCTATTTCCAGCAGCAGGCTCAGAGCCAGGCCGAACCAAATAGAACAAGGGGGAGCCGCAGGATTATACCAACTTATCAACAAATTTAGGGCATGGAAACCCGGTAGGTCAGTGCTAAAATTAGGGGCTGGTGCTTCAACGACAGCAGTCAAACTGCCGTGCATAAAGTCATGTAAAACCAGGGGATACACTATCACAAGGGCTGGCAGTAAAGACAAGGTTTCCATGGGTGACATTTAACGCCACACGTTGACTGAAGAGGCACTGTGCGTTACGCAGCGACAGCGCTGGATCATCACTGACCACAGCTGCGCAAATCATGAGTATTTGGTAGCTCTTTAGAGACGCCATATGTAGTCTTCGGCTCCTTTGAGTTTTTACGTCTGTAAAAATAATTTTAAAAAAATGTCTTTTTTGACCATACCAAGCCAAGAGGGTCTTTTTAAAACGATAAAAACAGGCAAATTAGGCGAGGACGCAGATAGTAGGTCACCAATGGACGCCGAAGATAACCAGAATGATGACGATGATGATGATGACACCGAGGACGTCCGCTTCATCCCAAGATGCTCCCCGGTGCCCAGAAAGCGAGGTGCGTCAATTTTCGATGAGACCGCTGAGTATATGCGGATCCACTTGGCGCTGTCCGCCGGGAAGAGAGTGTCATTTGCCGACACAACAGGTGGGGATTTGGTGGATGTGAAGGAATTTGTTGCCTTTGATTCGGACGATGAAGACTCTATTGCAAAGTGGGACGAAGAGGAGGCAAAGTATCGGAAGCCTGAGCGAGAGCCGATCTATCATGTGCTCCCAGAGTTTCATGCACCCACCGGTAATGCTCTGCTGCAGGCTGTGCGCACCAATAAAGTGGAGGTTGAGCAGATGTCTCCAGCTGAGAACGATCCTCTCGCCTTCACAGGGGTAATACGAGTGCTGAACATTTCCTTCCACAAAGCAGTTTATGTCAGATCGACAATGGACAATTGGGCCACTTACTTTGATCACCCAGCAGAGTATGTCCCGGGATCTCACGATGGAGAAACTGACAAGTTCTCCTTCAAGCTGTCTTTTGCGCCACCTTATACCACACATGGCTCTCGCATTGAGTTCGTTGTACGCTATGAAACCTCTGATGGTGATTACTGGGCTAATAACTCCTCTATGAACTATGTGGTGACTCTGCTCCTGACCTATGAAGATGATTCAGCTCATACAAACATCAACACACAGGAAATGAAAAGTATCCTGAAACCTCCAAAAGCTTACAGGTACATTTCCTGTCACACTTGTCAGTTAGACACCCCAGAGGACAAAGACTTAGAAGGGTATTTGTGTAATATTTTGCCCAGTCTCTGCCTCCCATGCCTTTTATCCGAAACATCCACAGAATTATAAGGTCACCATCAAGCCTCAGTCAGTTTAAGGTCCTCAAAAGCTGTCCATCCTATTAATCAGAAGAGAAATGCGGAGGCTCATAGACCAAAAAGGTTTTACTGAAAAAAAGGGATAATTTCTATATTAGTTATGTAATTATAAAAAGAGATACGGATGCCACAAAGGTAGGGGCTGTGCAACAGCTACAAAACTATACCTGCTTACTAATTCACTGAGAGGTTTATGCCTGGAATGAGTATTCAGCTCAATGTAGTGGTTCTGCCCAGAGAGTGCATCTAGCCCAGAAAGAACTCAAACAGAGCAGGCTGTTCATGAGAAAAGTGGTTCGGTCTGTTGCATAATCAAAGTACAAGGACAACAGGAAAGCTACCTAGATGAGTTCACAAAGTTTTCCCATTACTAGTTTTACCTTTTACAATTACAGCCTGTAGCAAGGTACAGGAAGAGATTTTTGGAAGAACACTCCCTGCTCAGTGTATCAATCACCCAGCGGTGTCTGAGGCATTCAGAATAGGAAAAGGGCAGGTGTCGTTTTCAGCCGTGGCGTTTCCCTGCACTAAAATTTACCTCTGACCTTTTCTATTGGAGTCATCAGGGGAGCAAAACCGTTTCAAAGGAACGGATTGGCTCCTCTCCCTTTTGTAATTAAAGGCTGGCACACAGACCCTTTTTGCTTCATTCGCTACTCCATTAAACTCAGCTAATCCCCTGATTTACTGTAATATCAACATGAAAGTTTGTGATAAATCTCACAATGTTCAAGCTTGGGCAGCACAAGCAATAGTTGCTTGTGTTGCCCAAGCTTGTGAGGACGTGTAAAAGCAGTAAGCTGAATATAAAGTGATGTAGTTGTCATGTAGGTATCCACTGCAGCTGTTTGGAGGGAGGAAGGAAGGCACCAGATGGGTTGTTAGGGATGGATGAGTCACTGATTGAAAAGAAGTTGGTTTGGGAGCAGAATCTGTATCAATCTCCCACCATAACAGCCACTACAGGTTGATTAAGTGCTTTGAAGTCAGCTGATAATTGGATTTTTAACATATTAACAAGGCAGCCAGTAAGATGAAAGGTTATTATGGGATAAAACAAGTCTAGACATGCAAATTTATTACATACTATTGAAATTAACTACATTTAGCCAAAACATTTCCACTTGAAGTAACAGATATCAAATATTAAACACCTGTGTGGAGTAGTGATGTCCTTTTGATTCAGTGTCATCTGCCTTGAGCACTATGAGTTGCTGAGTTTTGCTCGCGTTTTACTTGAGTTTTGGGGCTGAATTAGTCGAGCTTTCGTCTTGACCCGAGTCAAAAAATGTCATATCTGAAGATCGGCCCTTAAGTAGTGCTAACAGAATCAGCTCTATTACTTTATCTACATAAGTCTTTAATGTACAACACCTACCCACACAAAAAGATCAAGCACTATTTATTCTGTTAGGTTAAGATCGGGGTTTGGACTAGGCACGTGACTGAGGTGTCTTCTTGGGCCAGATGAATCTCTCAGAGTTACTTCTCAAATCTTGAAAAGGAATAATGGAACGATTAAAGGGAAATATTTTCCTTATTTTTGCTCATAACACTGTTACAATAGCCAGAGTTTTACATTTTTGGTAGTAATCCATATGAACCAAATATACGAAGCAGGTTTCAGACAGGTATAAAGGACAGACGTTTAGTTAGTATTTCTGAATTAGTTTTGGATTTGTATGATTTTTGACCCACTTGCCATTCACAATAAGCTTGGCTTAAAGAAGGACAAGCTTGAAGAGCTTGTTTTAGGTAGCGGAAGAAGGTTCACCAAGTCCCAGAATGATGGAAAACTACTCTAGCGGAGTGCAAGAATAAAAATATGGAGCTGGAATAAATCTCTTTTAATATCTGCTTGTTTATTTTTTTCCAAAAATTCCAAAGGATTTATTTAGCTTGCTATTCATGAGGGCGTGGTGCTAGCGTTAATTTATTCAAAAACCTAAAACAAACAAACAAATAAACAAACAAACAAAGTGCTTGGAGTTTCTCAAATTACCAAATTTAGGTCATCAATTCAACAAGAATGTGTATCAAATCTTTTTTGGATTATAAATCAGCCTCTCTCAGCTAAAATTGGATACGGGGAACAAACAGCTTCTGTAGCTCTTGTCACATGCTCATCACATGTCTTGACCTTTTATTTCTTTTGGCATCCTTTCCTGGACTCTTGGCAATCTTGCATCCCCCTAATCTCGAGCGAGAACAGTCTTCAGAGACCCTTTCTATTTCGTGATTTTGATCACTTTTCATTAGTGTCAGATAGGCATGGATTATGGAATGAACTAATATACATTTATTCTACTTAAGTCAATGTCTTCTCCTGTAATTTTGATCACCAGAATTATATTTGATACATCAGCTTTGATATTGAATATGACTTTTAATGGATTGGCTTGTGCTTGTACTTACCATTGGTGAACGAAATTCCAATTTCTATCCTGCCATCCTTGTTAATGAAACGCTCCTCTAGTCCAGGATTGCAGGAACTATACAAAACGAGCAATATAATACAAAGAGATAGTCTGTGTTCAATGAAAAAAAGGTACCTAAACACGTTTGCAGCTTAACCGCATTAACAATGAACAAGTGTAATTATCAAGAGCAGGTGTTGATGATGGTGCATATACATATTTAGCATTTATAGCTCAAAATGATCTTTAAATATTAATAACACAAAAATAGTAAGTCCTGACCCACCATATGGAATCTACTCAGGCTTCAGTCAGAATAAAAATGACTGCATACTCCTTCTTACACTACATATTTTTACTATGTACAATTACGTTGTTTGTGTCTTGGCAGACAAAGCCTCTGTGCAGTGTCGCTTTGTGCGTGTATACAATAATAAACACATTTACATTTGCATCTAAAGTGTGCACTACTCAATGGTTTTGTCACGTCTTCATGTATTTCTTATAACCCAAATTTCTCTCATCTCTTTCAGTATGAACAATGATTCAGAGGATGAACTGGAAAAGGAAGAAGGTACAGAATGGCGCAAGGACTATTAAAATGGGTTAAAATGGATATAAGACTATCCTGTTTCATAGTGGGGATATCACAAGTTCACTCCAGCTCAGATTTGAACTGTTTATTTATATAGATTGCTTTGGCAGTTATTGCCCACATTTGGAGATATGGGTTGATAAAATGTTTACCTTCTCTTAGATAAAATAGGACTAAAGGGAAAATGCTTTCTGCTACAAAAAATGAAATTGAAACACTCAGCAGCAATGTCTCTTTCAAGAAATCATGACCTAGTAACTGAAGAAAAAAAAAATCCACAAACCTTTTGTGAGCAGTTTCATGCCAGAAATATTTTCTTTCAACAGTCTAAATCCACCAATCAATAGAAGTGTGCAGCTAGTTAACACTTGGGACACCATCAATGTTTCCATGCTGTCACAAGCATGAGACTGTTCAGTTCAGTTCAGTTATTATTTTTATTGTGCCAAATCCCAACAACAGTTGCCTCACGGCACTTATTATTGTAAGGTTAAAGCCCCGCAATAATACAGAGAAAGCACCAACAATCAGATGACTCCCTATGTGCAAATATTTGGCGGCAGTGGGAAGGAAAACCTCCCCTTTAAACAGAACGAAACTGAATGAACCAGGCTCGGTGAGGGGCAGCCATCTGCTATGACTGGTTGCGTGTGAGGGGAGGAAGATTCAGAAACAGACCCTTCTATTGTGATTTTCACACATAACGTTCTGAAGATGAGTTTCATTTAATTCCCTTAGATTATTGATTATATAAGTGGGCACACTATAATATAAATTGCACTAGAGAGCAGAGGAAAAAGTCACATTTGCCACAATCCAGCTCAGTGGCAACATATATCATTATTAGGTAAATGTTCCTACCGCCAGGTAGACTTACCCAAGAGTCACAGAGGTATTTACCCAGGCTAAAAAAATACATATTTTATTTTTTTGATTAACATAACTTATTAAACACATTCTCATAACTTCTTCATCTGGTTTACAATTACAGAAGAAGCAGGGACCTCTGAGGCTCGTCCGGGACTTCTGCGGCCTACGCCTGTGTGTCCCGTCATTGTAAAGCCGGAGATTGATGTAGAGGTAAGAGTAAAGTAAAAGAATGGGGATTGTAAGCCACCAGGAGGAGTACTGATTCATCCTTCAAAAGTTTAAAACAATCCGTTTTGATTGGAACTTGCTCCTATGTTGGCTCACCTGCCAAGAGAGGACACACATTCAGTAAATTACTTGTTGGACTGGTTAAAATGATCTTTATCGGCATGCAATTTTTGACAAATTCACATTTAACAGGTTACCAGGCTAAGTGCTTTATCCCTCTAGACAAGCCATGTATCTAATAAAACATAACAAACATGTTTGATCAACTTTTGAACCTTATCACCATTGGCTTGGTTGTTTGTGTTGTTCACAGCTCATTGAAGCTTCAGCAACAACTTAGGTAACGTCTCGCTTCTTACTGCTGTATGTCTCTTTTTCAGTTTCTCATCACATTCATGACGCATGCTGTTCAAGTTTGTGCACACTTTAATTTGAATTCACATCTCTTGTACTTTTATGTAACTCAGGACACTAATATTTTTTTTACCCACATGTGATCACATCTAATATCTTCTATGCTTCCATTGTTTGAAACTGTAACTTTCTTGCAGAAAGTTAGATTAAAAAATAAAATAAAAGAAAGAAAATAAAGAAAATTCAGGAATATAAAGAAAAGCATATTGTGTATATTGCACATTCATGTGGGATAATAATAATAAAAAAGATTTCCCCCAGTGGGAAGTCATTCTTCTGAGTTTGTAGTGCTCCTGTGCCTTTAAGTCTGAATATGGAACCAATATGGATCATACAAAAATGTGTTTTATTTCATTGCTTGGAGTTTTAAAACATGTTCATGAAATCTTCAAGTATCTTATCATTAAAACTCGCTTAATGAGGTATACGTTCTGCAAATATCTAATCAGTTAATCACATAGCAACACAACTTAGGCATGTACACAAGATGGCCAAGATGTTCTGCTTAAGCATCAGAATGGGGG